TTGTAGCGCTTGATGGTTTTTGCGACTCCACTTGGGGACACATTTAAAGTTTTTGCAATTTTCCGGACTGACTGACCTTCATTTCTTAAAGTAATGATGGCCACTCGTTTTTCTTTAGTTAGCTGATTGGTTCTTGCCATAATATGAATTTTAACAGTTGTCCAATAGGGCTGTCGGCTGTGTATTAACCTGACTTCTGCACAACACAACTGATGGTCCCAACCCCATTGATAAAGCAAGAAATTCCACTAATTAACCCTGATAAGGCACACCTGTGAAGTGGAAACCATTTCAGGTGACTACCTCTTGAAGCTCATGGAGAGAATGCCAAGAGTGTGCAAAGCAGTAATCAGAGCAAAGGGTGGCAATTTTGAAGAAACTAGAATATAAAACATGTTTTCAGTTATTTCACCTTTTTTTCTTAAGTACATAACTCCACATGTGTTCATTCATAGTTTTGATGCCTTCAGTGAGAATCTACAATGTAAATAGTCATGAAAATAAAGAAAACGCATTGAATGAGAAGGTGTGTCCAAACTTTTGGCCTGTACTGTATATTACTCATACAGAACAGCTTGCAGTCAAAAGAAAGAACAAGGGGACAGAGGCAATCTACAGTCTGGAAAATTAAAAAAGCAACACTTGGTTTTTGGATAATAATATCAAACTATTTACATTTTATTAATTGTAATGAATATTTTTGATATTTAAACCAATAAGTTTAAAATCCAGACAGAATATTCAAAAGGTGACAGTTGAAGGAAGTCAAAGTATTGCAACACAAACTTTATTACTGGCTTTGGTCTTTCATTAATTGTTGAATAAAAAAAAACTGCAAGTTTATTCATTGTGAAAATGTAAATTTGAGCTAGCTTACGTGTGATTTTTACCATAAACTGGTGTGTCAGGCTCCACTTTTTCAAACTACATACAGACCTCTTCAGCATCTTCTCTGTCTAACTTTTCATTGCCCTTAAGTAACATTTCACCCTTTGTCCCCCCTTAGGCTGCTCTCCTGGCACCACTGGATGAAGACATGGGGCATGACAGAAAGACGACTGGAGCAAGCAATAAAGTGCCTGACTTCCCTCCTCCTGCAGGCAGAGAAATTGTGTTGCGTACATGTGTTCCTCGGCCAGCACCATACTCCAAAGCTCTGCCTCAGCGGCTATTCTGTGTGTTGATGAGGGAGGAGTTCAGGCTGGCAGGGGCCTTCTCTTCAGACACTAATTTCTTCTAAGACCAAAAACCTATCACACAATATTTGATCTGAAAACATGTTCCATTTGCTCACCCCCTTGAAACCAGAACTTGAAGATCAGTGAAAGACGGAGGGTGGCACATTAAAAAAATGATTCTCTGTTGGTCCTCTGTTGGTTAATGAGTTTGTTTGTGGGTACAAATGCTTGTTCAGTGAATGTTTTTATTCAGGCATAACATATCTGTGTTGGTTATGTATCTCCAGCCGACACCCTAATGAGCATTGCTATCTGAAATGAGAGAGATCACTTTATATAACTTTAGTTGGTCCTTATGGCATTGCAAAAAGGGTAAAAATTCCTAGCATCACACAGGCAAGGGGCACATTTAAATTTCTTGTACTACAGACTGCTGTAATTTCACTGTGCACAATGGCAAATATCAAGCAGTTTTGATATAGAAGCAATTTAAAATGAAGTGTTACCAAATGTAATCTGTTTATGAGTGGGCAACTTAAAACTGAGCTAAAAGATGCAAGTGCTGTAGTTACAAGTGAAAGGGGTGAGAGTAAAATCTTTTCATCCTCACACTGGTGATGCACTGCACCCTCATCAATATCACACAGACACATTTTTTCCTCTCAGCTCTGGCCTTGCCAAAACACCGTAACCACTGTTTTTCACATAAGATGTTGCTCTGTTGTTGTAGTGTTACTGAGTAAAAGAAACTATCAAAATGACATTATTTTTGCAATTTCCCTATAACTGGCCACATGCTAAGTGATAGCATAACTTCATACCATTATTCTCTCCTTGTGTTGTTGTGAACAGAACAGGTTTATTGATCCTGCTTGTTAATGTGCTGTTTGCAGTTCGGCGCTAGGTCATAGGCTTGAAAAGTTGCTGATACCTAACAGGAGGGTTCTAGACAGGAATGCTTGTTGAAAATACATGAGTGCAATTACACAGCAGTCAATCCTGCTCTGAAGTACAATTACATACTTAATGTTAGAAAAATATCGCTTTACTTATCACAGCAGAAGACAGTGTGATCATTCTTAAGTTTGCTTTCATTTAAATGAAAAATAGTTCTATCATGTGAACCAATGCTTTGTAGGTGTAATACTGATGTACATTAACAAGTGATTGATTAACAAGTGATGTGTCAAGTCGTTTGTTTTCATGTGCAATATGTGTACAGTAAATGTCGGTCCAAAAAGTCCTCTGATCTAAAAACAAACACTGTTCTGCCATATTCAGCAATTCTGGCTTGGCCATGGGCATCATCAGTACTTGACAGTGTTATAAATTGGGAGGCTAGTTAGGAGTCATATTCTTTTTTGCACCATTTGTCACAGATAGATTTATGTACAGATGCAAAGGGGGTGGATTGTGTGTGCCTCCTATTTGGCTTACGTGACTCCTCTATAGTGAGAGAGCCACATAAAGAAGGCATTGTACAAATGGTTCAGGCATGTGACTGGCAAATGACAATGTATTCTCATGTGCTGGAGATAAACAGTATAGGTAAATGAAAAAGAATTGATCATCTGGATTCACCCAGCTCCAGGTATCAAGCTTCAGAGTTGCAGTTGTGGCTGGGCCAATGTAATATCCTCTGCAGGCCTGAGAATACATGTACATTTTGAAGGCAGTGGGACAGGGAACTCGCATCGACCACTGCTTCCTATAAAGCTAACAGTTCAGTCAAGTGAAACTCAGCAGCAGGATGACAAGCAACGTCTGCAGGGCATCACCTCCCTATCCCACAGGAAGAGGATGAGTCGAGCACAGCTGAGCCCCATGAGCCCAGCCCATGGCAGCCTGCATTGAGACTAGGATCCATAGGTGAAAGCTGCTAACAAAGTGGCAAAAGTCCTGTGAGGAAAACGGTCAACACAGACCTTATTAACTACTGGAGCAGCTGAGGGGTTGTGAGAGTTGATCTACAGCTGCAGAGAAGAGGAGGAAAATCTCACCCATCCCAACAAAGACCAGGAGACAACAAGAAATAGAGTGTTGGGTCAAAGAGAGAAGGCAGCTGTAGAAGCAGTGGTGGAAAGCCTCAGAGAAAGAGAGGGAAGGAATAAATTTACTGCAGAAATCAGGAACTGGCTATCATCTTTGAGAAGTGTGGAAAATCTAGAAGGCATAGAGAGAAGAACCAGACAAGATCACACTTCTTCAAAGATCTGCTCAAGTTCATAAGGTGTCTGTTCACAGAGGACACGTGGCAAACTCACAACATCAAAGCAGGATCTCAAAGCTTACCTCGGAGTGCGGGGACAGAATTTGAGGAAGGCAGTGAAGGAAATGTCAGATGAAGCAGCCAGAGCAAGCCAATGGATCTGGAAGAGAAGAAATAATGTCATTTGGGGGCCAGCAGGAGGAACTACTAAGCAGGGTACATAACTCCTTGAGCTCAGGTGGAGAGATCCACTTCCTCTCAGGAGAAATCCAGGAAGAGGAAGGTTATTTAAGTGTGGGAATGGCCTATTTGAATCCCTTTTGTTTGAGACTATGCTGCAAGGTGAGTGTGTTTGCTGACCTTGTGAGTTAATGGAAAGCCATGCCATAATAGCTTATCATAGGGCTTAGGAGGTTATTCACTGAGTGCTGATCCTTTCTCTAGAGCACAGACTTCTTGTGTTTATTTGAAAATGAATTCCTAGAACATCAGCTAGATATCTGACCTCCCAAGTGGAGTGCGGTGGTAAGTATTATGTGTCGGGCAAGAGCTGCATCCTCCCTTGGGCCTAACGTAGTCCCATATAGGCTGTATAAGAATGCACCAGGCGTACTTCGGTTTTTGTTTAGGCTGATGAAGGTGGCATGGCAATAAAAAGCAATATCAACAGCTTGGATATAAAAAGAAGATGGAAGAACAGCTGCAGTAGAGCAACGTCAGTGAGTCTGGAGAGTCTGAAAACCATCTCAGGACACAAACAACCGGGCTCCCAGGCCAGAGGCGACCAGAAGTGGGTGAATGATCTGAATCTGTTCTTCAATAGATTTGATCAGTCTGCCCCTCCCCTGGACCAGACATCACGACTGCAACCCCCCACATCCTCACCTTTACCCCCCCTTTACCTGCCATCGTTGGCCTTATTACAGATGGGGGACGACAGGGAGTACAGAGAACTGAACCAGTTCTTTGTGGACTCGTGCCTGAGGAACCATCTTCAGATCAACACAGGGAAAACCAAAGAGCTGGTGGTGGATTTCCGCAGGCGCAGACTCCTCCCCCCAACACTGGTGAACATCCAGGGAGAGGATATTGAGATGGTGACATCCTGTAAGTACCTGGGTGTTGATCATAACAATAAACTGGACTGATCACATAACAGCATTATACAGGAAAGGCCAAAGCAGACTCTACCTGCTGAGGCGGCTCAGGTCATTTGGAGTGCAGGGGGTGCTCCTGAAGACCTTCTTTGACACTGTGGTGGCATCATCCTTCTTCTACGGACTGGTCTGCTGGGGCAGCAGCGTCTCGGTTGCAGATAGGAAGAGACTGGACAAGCTGATCAAGAAGGCCAGCTCTGTCCTGTGAAAGGAGGATGACAGCCAAGCTGTCATCTCTGAGGACTAACGACTCCCACCCCCTGCAGGAGGAGATTAAAGTTCTGGAGAGCTCCTTCAGCGATAGACTGATTCACCCAAAGTGTGTGAAGGAACGCTATCGCAGGTCCTTCCTGCCTGCTGCTGTCAGGCTACACAACCAGCACTGCTCACAATAAACTGCACCATGGACACTTTAGGGACACCATAATAAGCATAACTGTCCCCCTTGTTGTTTATTTGCACACACAATTTTCACTTTGCACTAAATATGCTCACTTTAATCCATTGTTAACTTTTTATCCACTGCTCATTATTATTCTCAGTTGTGGGATCACTAAAGGTGTATCTTATCTTATCTTTGTAACAACCTCAGACACGAAACTGGTGGACTCAAATGCACGACTCGCAGCAGGTTTAACAAAAGTATTTTACTTGGCAAAATCAATTTAAACAAAAGGCGCTCTCAAGGAGGATATACAAAGTTCAAAACAAAACACTCACAATGAGGATCAAAAAATATCACAACTTAGAATCAAACCTGATAACATGAAAACCTGGCATCACACAGACTGGACAAGATGAACTGGCAACAAGACAAAGGGAGACAAGGACTATTTATACATGAGGTAGGGGAACACAGGTGAAACCGATCAGGGGCGGGGTAGACAATCACAATGGCGGGAAAATCACACAAAGGGAGGAAGTCAGGTTCTGAAACGAGAGGGAAAAGGTGAGTACAAAATAAAATAGGAAGTGCACGATGAGACTGGACATGAGTGACTTTAACTTAACATAAAGTGCTCATGACAACAAAGGACTAAACATGAAACTAAACTAAGGCATGACATAATATGAAACACTAAACATGAACATGAATAAAATTAACATACTTGACGAGACACAACAATCTTATCTTATCTGAGGGCAGGGGTTATCCTAATCCCAAAGGAAAAGGAGACTGTTGATATCAGCTAGTTTCGCCACATCAGCCTCTTGAATGGTGAAGGCAAACTTTTATTGAGCAATGTGGCTCACTAAGAAAAGAAACACTACATTGATATATCAGTGCAGAAGGTAGAGATCCCTGGCTTTTCTTGGTGTCTGGAGAACACAAGCATGATATGGCATCAAATCCAAGCTGCCAAAAAGAATGGAAGAGATCTTCACGTTTTGTTCCTGGATTTCACTAACACCTTTGGCTTGGCTCCTCACAATCTACTTTGGACTGCATTGACTACTTTGGTGTCCCAGAGCACATCACTGCCCTGGTCAAATCCTACTTCTAGGACACACAGCTGTGTCTGAGAACTTAGGAGTACACCACAGCATGGCATCAGTTGGAAATAGGCATCATGGTAGGATGCACCATCTACCTGCTAGCCTTTACCATGGCCATTGAGGTCATCATCTGAGCCTCTCAATGGGTGGTAGGAGGAACAGCTCAAATGACTGTCAGCCCCCACCCAGCAGGGCTTGCATGGATGATCTTACTACACACCACGACCAAGGAATGCACAAGGCATCTGCTGAAGAAGCTTCAGGACAACATAGGGTGGGCTCGGATAAAGCTAAAGCTAAACAAGTCCAGGAGCATATCACTTATCAAGTGAAAGCTGTCAGAGCATCGCCTCTACAGGAACCCATACCAACAGTAACAGAGAAGCCAGTCCAAAGTCTGAGACCATGGTACGACATATCCCTCAATGACACCGATCAAGTGGATCAGCTTAGGAAAGATACTATCAGTGGTCTGGAGAGCATCAACAAGTCTTAACTCCCTGGCAGGTTGAAACTCTGGTGCCTTCTCCCACCCAGGTTGATGTGGCCATTGACCATCTGTGGGGTCCCAATTTTTAAGGTTGACAGACTGGGGAGACTGATCAGCTCACTTGCCTAAAAGTGACTAGGTGTCTCCAGGTGTATTACCAACACAGGGTCGTATGGAAAAGGCTTTCTAGAGCTCCCTGTGTCCAGTTTCAGATAGGAGTACAAATGCTCCAAAGTAAGGTTGAAAATGACACTGACAAAAAAACATGACTAGTGTGCAGTCCAAACAGCTCCTACACTTGCTACTGGAAGGAAGTGGACCCCATCTGCAGCTATGCAACAAGCAAAGTCAGGCCTTAAACACCTGGGCCTGTATTCACAAAGATTCTCAGAGTCCTCTCAGAGAGCTCCTAACTTAGCCTAAAAATTCCTAGCAAGGAATCTTAGATAAAAGTTTCTGTCTCCTCCTTGCTCAGAGTTGCTCTCAGAAACTTCCTGAATCACTCTTAAGCTAAGTGAGGAGGTGTGGTTGACCCCGTTGCTAGGTATGACACAGTCTTCTAAAAGCTGTGATTGGTTGTTACAAAAAGGAAAAAAGAAAAACAAATGCGCTCCTAGTAATGAATGGACAGTGAAATCAACTGATCATAGAACTTAGACTGTATTAAGAAATGCGTAATCGTTAAAATAATTTTATGTCATGATGATGAAACTCAGCTTCAAAATGTTTGAACGTACGTACCTCATTCACATGCCGATTATTATATTGATTTGCTTATTGTTATGTTTATTCGCCATGCAGGTAATTTTACTACTTAATCTATTT